GAGGCCAGGGGACAGGGAGCAGAGGACTAGAGGATAAGGCAAAAGGCAGGGCTCTACACTTCAGGGAGGCAGGAGGCTGGGCATGATAGTATGTGAGCCCTGACACTGGGCTGAGAAGCAGCCTGTTTGCAGGATACCGGAGCACCAGCATCAGCTCTGCTGAGTGTGGGTGTCTGGGAAGTCAGGGCTTTGGTACACTTCCACGTCCAGCCTCATGCCTGGGCAGCGGACGTAAGTGCGGAGAACCTTGGTCAGCACCATGCAGGTGAGTGAGGGGACCCACCGTCACCCTCGGGGCATAAGGCACCTGTTCCAGCTTCCTTCCCATCACTGTGATAAAACATTCTGACTCGAAAGCAACTTAGAGGAGAAATGGGTTTATTTGCCTCACACTTTCAGGTCACAGTCCATCGTTGAGGGGACTAGAGCAGGAGCTGAAACAGAAGTCACGGGAGAATGCTAGTGTTCTTACGCAGCTGAGGACCACCTGCTCAGGGAGTGCTCATGTCCATGCTGGGCTGTGCCTCCTGTATCAACAGTCAAGACAATTCCCCACAGGCCAACCTGATAAAGACGGTTATTCAGTTGAGACTCTTTTGGGGAGATTCTAAGCTGCTTCAAGTCCACAGTTCATGCTAACTAGGACAACCTCAGCTCAGACAGAAGCTGGGCTAGACGGACTGGTAGAATCACTCTGGTCAAGGAAAGCCAGAGAGGCTGCCTGTGAGATCTGCAGTGGGAGATCAGAAGCCATAAAAGACCCTGGGGATACTCTAGATTCACAGGCAATCCAAGCCCAGAGAGAGGAAGGAGCTGTGGGTGCTGTGGAAGCTATGGACTGTTTACGAAAAGGCCAAGGACCCCTGAGCTCTGAGAGCCAGGAAGGGTGGCAGAGGCTTGGGAAGGGTTAGGCAGTGCCTTTGCGTGAATTAGGAAAAGGTACCACTTCCTGGAGGGTAAGTTATGCTACCAGGACACTACAGCAATGCATGGGTTTTATTAGAATAAAACACTTGGCTACATCTGGGGGGAAAGTATTGTAATAAATAATGTGTATAATATGAATTAGGAAGATGGCCAAGTGGGTAAAGTGCCTGCCACAGAAGCACAAAGATCTGAGTACAGAGCCCGCAGCACCCACTTAAAAAACCAGGCATGGTTATGCATGTTGGTAATCCTCATGCTGGGGAAGCAAAAACAGGCAGGTTCCTGGAGCTCACTGGCTAGCCAGCATAGCCAACCAGTGAGCTCCAGGTTCAGTGGGAGACCCTGTCAAAAAAAGATAAGAGCATGATTAACCTCTGGCTGTCACACACACACACACACACACACACACACACACACTCAACTCACACACAAAGCATGTGATGTTGTGGTACCCATACACGCCTTTTTCGGGGTGGTGGAAGTTTAAACAGGTCTCAGGGAGTGAGTGGAGCTTGGCAGCCAGGAAACACAACCAATGGGGGCTTGAGTTGCAGGGAGTTTGTGATGCTGCATGCAGGGCATCTGGCCTAGAGTCAGACAGCTAAGGGCTTGGTTCCTTCCTCTCCATTCTGCCAGGCTCTGTGTGTCAGCTCCCTGGCCCGGTCCGGCTCAATCCCAGGACAACAGTCACTGATGCCATCACTCCGTTTTCCCACAAGAGGAAGAGCAAGAAGATGACATGTCTCTTTGTGTGTTTTTTATTTGGTAGAAAACCTTTCTAGAAATGCCCAAGGCTCCCTCACTTCCCCACCACCTTCCCCTGTCACAGCGCCCCTTGCCAGAGCTGCCATTGCCAAGGACAGTGGTTTTACTTTGATCTGTCTGATCATAATAGGTGGAGAAGAGAGGACAAGGTAAGGCTATAGGGAAGCTTTCTAGAACCTTCTATAAAGGTGGGGAGAGAGAGCCCAATACCTGATACCTAAATGCATTTGAATCCACTTGTCCAAAGGGGATTTGATAAACAGTCCCACTGTCTGCTGCAGATAAAACCAGACCGTACAGGGTGGCTTGGGACTTACCTGCCATCCCACACTCCTGGAACCTCAGGCCATGCATGGGGATTGCACTGTGTGATCCTATTCATCCCTAAAGTTCAGGGGCAGGGACTGCACGGCCCAGCCTTTGTATGGAGCACCCTGCTCTCCCCACAGCAGTTCTGAGATCTGAACCGTATCCAGACCTTGCCACAGAGCAGGATGTGTGGAGGGCAAAGCAGCCTGGCTGGAAGCCTGTGCCTGAGCCTTCCTGTGTGGGGATTCCATTTCCCGTGAGGGTCTGTCTTTGCAAACCTTTGCTTCTCCTTCCCTGCTCTTGACTCACGATGCCTACCCTTCCTTCAGTACACCTGCCAGCCCGCACCTCCTCCTCCAAGTGCAGGGTTATGCCTATCTTATAAAACCTTGCTCCTTGCCTCGTACCAGCCCCCACTCCATGTACATTTCTTATAGGAACGAGTGAATGAATTACCTTTAACTTCTGATTACTGGGGCAGCTTTCTGCAACAGCCTTCAGATGCCAGCTGCTCAGCATCCTGTTGGCCTTTGTGACCTAAGGCCACACTGAGACATGAATGAGCTCCCAGCCTCTGTCTCCAACAGGACAGTCCTCCACTGTGGTTACATACTTGAAGCTACTCTGATCCTACAGGACTCTCATCTCCCAGGAGAAAACTAGACTAGAATTATTTTTTTAAACACATGGTTCTGACCAAGGTCAGCCCACCTTTGCATCCACCCTCCTGTGTTCTCTTGTTGCCTCATATGAAGTTCAGTCTCCTTAGTATTCAAGGGTCTTTGCACTTGGCCTTGCCCTCCCTTCTTCTCTGGAACCACTTGAAGTTCTGCCCTGCTGACTAGCTGACTCCATGGGGCTCTAGGGCTCTCTCTCTCTCTGTTGTAAGGATTCTGTCCTTAATTACATCATCAGCCTGCGATAGTGTCCCAGCCTAAAAAGCGGGTGGGCCCTCTGTGCGTCCCTCTCTTTCATTTCTGCTCCTTCCTTCTGTCTGTGTCCTCTCTCTCTCTCTCTCTCTCTCTCTCTCTCTCTCTCTCTCTCTCTCTCTCTCCCAATAAAGCTCTAAAAAGGTAACCATGGCCTATGACTCTCCTCCAGCACTCTCCTCCATCACAGGCAGTGGCCAGCCACGAGCAGCGTGCTGTTTAACCAACATCTGTCAGACTCTCTGCCCTGCTAACTAGCTGACTCCATGGTACTCTATGGCTCTCTTCATCTGTCAGTGCTTTGAACACCCTCCTGTTGGCCAGGACACAGTTCAGCCCTGTTCAAATGTTATCATTGTGCCCCCAAAGAAGGTCTCCCACCCTCCCAGTCCCAGAGCAGTGTGCCTCTCTGAAGCTCCTCCCCTTGAGAAGATGTTTCTTCAGCCTATAGAAGCCATATGCCACTCAGTGGAAACAGCCTTGGAGACCACCCTAGGCCTGCCACATGAAGCAATTCAATATCATACATGTTGGCCAGATATGTATTCCCTGGGCATCCATCCCACTACTCCACTCCCATGCTTGAGATTTGCTTAATGGCTTGTGTGGCCTCAGGAAGCAGCTTCAAGCCCAATTCTAGGAACAGGGTGAACTGTAAACAGAAACCAACCCAAGGGGTGCAGAGCAGAGAAAGATCACAAGACCTTAGGTGTGAAGCTGGATCAAGCCTTGCCTGAAGCCTGTCCTTTGGTATGTTTCATTTCTATGAAACCATTGAGTTCTTTTTGCTCATCTAAGTAGATTCTCTATTACTTATCATCCAGAATAGAAAAATAAATAGTGTTCACAGTAGCCCTCCAGACCCTTTCAAAGCAGTTGGGAGACTGTAGTTCTTCTTACAGTCTAGAACCTGGGGAAAACATGGACTTACTTATTTACTGGATTTCTTTTCCTTTCCAAATTAACATTTTCTCTGTCTGCAGAAACCACCTCTGCTCCACCCTCCACTGTATCTCTGATTCTTCCTCCTCCACACCTTCAGAAATCCTCAGGACATCCTAAGGGCAAAGCTCCCTAACCCATCCTGAGGTGAGCAACCTCCGCTTCCTCTCCTCTGGTTCCTCCAAAGGCTACTACCATCCCTCCCGCCACACAATGGTGGACACAGTATGGACCTAGCAAAGCCTCCTCATGAGATGGGACCTTCTCAAAGAGCTTGCAGCCCTGTCCCTGCTCTGCTTTCTGGGTGAGGTGTGTCCCTGGCTCTTGGGCTCAGGCAGCAAGGCTTCAGGGCCTGGTTGCCAGGTTCTCTTGGCTCAGCATGAAGCAAGAGTAACAGGGTACCAGCTCCATCATGTCAATCCGGCGGCGCCTCAGCCTGAATCCCACAGTCCTGGGAGGGTCAGAGGAGTGGGGGATAATAGAGGGATGTGGGGGGAGGATCCCTCCAGGGCCCAGGGACCTGGGCCAGGGGAACCAGCTCATAGCAGGAAATAGGAGAAGCCTCCCAGTTGACAGGAGGAGACAGCCAGCGTTCCATGCCCTGAGGCAGAGGCCTCTCTTCTGAAGCCTTGGAGCAAAGCCTTCCAGCTCTGCGTTTTCTGAGTGCGGTCCTGCTGCTCCTGAGGATTAGTCTGGTTCCCGCAGGAAATTTCAGAACAACGCCAAGGCCAAGCTTCAGACCACAAGGAAAAGGTGTCTGAATCCAGGCAGATATTTTAAGCAGGGTGTGGAAGCGGAGAGGAGGGAGGAAGTGTGTGTGACGAGGTCAAAGTCAGAGGTCAGGCCACCCTCCCAGTCTGAGTCTCTTACCTGAACAAATGATAGCTTCCCCAGAAAGGTGGGGGTTCAAGCGGGGAGGGGGGAGGGGTTCTTCAGAAGGGAGGGGACAGATGGTACTGGCCACTGGGCCAGATATCAAGCCTCAAGGCCTCCGTCCTAGCTGCTTCTGCCTCCAAAATGCTGGCCCAGAACTGACAACACCCCACTGGCACCCCGGTCTCCGCAGACAACCCCCTACCACCCCCAGTCTCCCTCATTCAGGGCCTGTAGACACACAGTAACACAGTCTGGGGATCTGTCTGCTTTATCCTGAGAGAGCCAAGAGTTCATTCAAAAGAAAGTTGGGTTGGGGGAGAAAAGGATGATGAAAATAGCGTAATCCCAAGAACTCAGGGAGCGTGTGCAAGACCACCAGGCCCCGGAGGAACGCAGGAGCAGCCAGTCCTGGGCCAGGAAGCAGCCTGTGCCCCCTTCTCCAGAGTAGACATCTTCAGCTAAAGGGCTTCACCAGCTTCATGGCAGCATAGTTCTAGGAGGGAGACAAGGATACAGACACGTGGTCAGCCCTTCAGGGAAAGCTCGGTGGGAGCTGTTCTCACTGGGGCTGAGGACAGCCGCAGGTGGGCATTTGGGCTCCTGGGTCTTCACTACTCGCCTGCAGCCTGCCTTGCTACCTACCAGCCCACGACAGGCCCCACACTCTGCCCTTACGGCACTCTCATCCATCCAGCAAAGCTGACTCCGGCCATTTCCACGATTCCTAGCCCCCTACTCTCATACACGCAAAGGGGAGGCCCAGGGCTGACTCATCACCAAGCCACTATCCAGCAAGGCACAGAGTGGGCTGTGGGTACCTAGGACAACCCATAACAGGGGCCAGCATCAGAGATGGGTCACCCTCCACAAAGCCCTTCCTGCTGCAGGCCTGACAGGGGCCTCTCCTCCCCACCGCTCCTCCCAGACGCCATGAAAACACACAACACAACACAGGGTTCTTAATTGGGACAGTATGTTCTCCAGCGCCGGCCTGGAAAGCCAACCCTGGAAACAAAGCCGGCCCTCCTTCCCCGCCAAATCGCTTCTGCCGCCCCAATCTGGCCCCGCTCCCAGCAGGCTCAAAGGGGCCAGAGGAGTCAGAAGTCCCCCCCTCACCCCTCCTAGGGGACTCTCCAAGACTGTGGGGGTGGTCTCACAAGAGGGTGCCCTGCACTGGCTAGAATAGGCCCTCTGCCCTACCTGGCTGAAAGCAGGTGAGCTGACAGACCCAGCCTTCATGAAAGAGGCCAGGTGACTGGGGACTTGGATAGACAGAGATGGGACTGTGGGCTGTAGCCAGGCCTGCACACAGAAGGTATATATCCTGATCCTGCTGGCCCCCGAAGCCTGAAGCCCTGGCCTGAATCCACCTGTGTTCCACATGCTGCTCCAGGAGGTCAGTACATAAAGAAGACGCTCGGGGAAATGAAAGGAGTGTAACTTAGCTACTGGAGTCCAGGCACCAGAGGAGACTCTCCACTCAGAGTCCCCAAAAATGTTCCTCAGCTGTCTTCAAGAGCCAGGAGCATGAAGACCTCCAGGCTAGATGGCACTGGCCTTTCTTCCAGCCACAGCTCTGAGACCTAGGCCAGCCACTCATGGGCCTCACAGGGCTGGGCCCAGCTGGGCAGGGTAGGCACAAAAATAACCATGGTGATGGCACTTGGGGCAGGCACTTGCTCTCCAGGCCCTTAAGTAAGGGACTCAGCTTAACACGCAGCAGCTCGAAAAGACAAACAAACCCGACCTGTGCCCATCAGAAACTTGGGGCTCACACAGTCCAGCCCCTTCCACATACAAGGTCACACACACAGAGGCTGGTGGGAAGTCGGTGGAACCCATGTTCCTAAGTTCAAGAACAATGCTCCATCTCCTACAACAGAGGGTTACTCCTTCCTTCCTGTGCCAGAGGGCAGCGTCCTGCTGAGCCAGCCCAGAACTCTGCATCCCAGAGTTTCCCAGCAACACCGAAGCGGATGCTCCCTGGACCATAGCTGGAGAAGCAGAGTAGACACCAGCTCTGCCTTCTAACTCTCGAACGTAATCATCAGTGTCCTGACTACTACCTCGGGCATCTGCCTCACAGCTTCTCCCTTGTGGCCCCCAGGCCCTCCCCTCCTGGACACACACACCTACTTCCTCAAGCCACCCCATTCTCTGAGTAGAAGCTGACCATACCAAGTGAGAGAATGTGACTTGAGTCAGGCCAGAAGAGGGGGCTAGACCTCTACCTCACTTCCCCAGCCCTAGCTGGCCCAACTGCCAGACACCGATCCCAGGTCACCTTTGGTGGCAGCTCAACCCACCCAGAGGAGACCTGACTCAGACACTGTATTTGTTGTCTGACTTTCCTTAAAGTGTCCCCTTAAATGGCACGAACTTCGACCCTCACAGCCTGGACCTACCCAGGACCTCAGTCAGTTTGGCCAGTCCTGCTCAGTCCAGCAAGTATTCATTGCAACAGGAGCCAGGAGGCAGAGGACAGAGGCTTGCCCCACACCACCACAGGCAGAGCCAGGGAGCTAAGGACCAAGCAGCCCTGGATGGTATGGCCGTGGTGGCCCTGGTATCTCTTGGTCAGATGCCAGTTGGTTCCTACCAGATGAAAGGGACCCCAAGTGTGCACCCTGCCAGTGAGGGACTCCAGATGCAGTCCCTCCTTGTTCCTACTGTTTCCAAGCCCCCACTCTATCAAGGTCCTCAGAGGACCTAGCAAGTGCTGTCCTCTGTTCTGCCACCTCATACCTTCCCTTCCCCACCCAGCTCCACCCCACCCTTCAACAGGCTCCCCTGCCACCCTAGGTCCAAGCCTCCTGTTGTGTGAATTTCCCCCAAAATGATCTTGTTAAAGCTCAGGAAGCAAACAAAACTTACAAGTCCCAGGATGCTCCTGAAACTTACAAGATTCACAAGTCCCTCCCCCACGGCTATTCCAGTATTACACAGTGCTAGGAAGAAGAGACTCTCCAGCTAGTGGAGCTTCCTGTGCAAGTCATGCATGCAGGTAGCTCCAGGAATGCAGATTCTGAGTGTTCTCAGCCATACTGGGGTGGGCTTTTCAGTGGTGCAACTGCCTCTGAGTCTCACACGCTGGAGTAACTGCAATCAACTCACTGGCTCACCAGGCTAGCCACTTATTCACATCCCTCCAGGAAGTCACACAACCCCTCCCCGTCTGCCTGTCCCTTGATAGCCATTCTTAGGCACTTGCTCAATGAGTAAGGATTCCCCAGGGACAAGGCTTTGTCTCCCTCCTACCAGTTAGGGGACACCGAGACCTGGGGTTCTACCTCCTCATTGGAGCAGGTCACTGGTTGTCACCAGACTCTGGGAACACATGGAAAACAAGGGACTCCCCCAAGGCAGCATCTCCCACATCAGGCCTGCTCACCGGGAAGGCATAGACGAAGATGCCCAGGAAGAGCAGGAGGATAAAAAGGATGATGAAGAGGATGATGGCACACCGGAAGCGTCGCCACAAGATGAACTTCATGGTCTTGTACGGAGAGGTGAACCACAGGAAAGAGGTGTCAGGGCGCCTGGAGGTGAGATCCCAGGGGTCAGCAGAGCCCCCTGCAGGACTGTCTCCTTCAGACCCTGCTCTAGCTGGGACAGTGGGTCAAACAGCCTGGCTATGGGAGAGGCGCACCCTGCCTCCATGCCCTCTGCCCCTCCTCCCAGAGCCTCTGCTGAGGTGGTGCTTGCCTGTGCCACCTGTGTTCTCGGTGCTGCTGAGCCCCATCTTCAGGACCCCTTGCTTATGGCCCTCTTCCCTTCTAAACCCGTACTCAGCCACAGATCGCTCCCAATCATGCAGTCTGTGGCTAAGCTTCCAGCATGCCCTGTTTGGTGAGTGAGGGTACACTGGCCTCCAGATAAGCCAAGCTGGCTGCTTCTGGAGACCTGGCTGGGCTGGCCATTGGGAGGATGGAGAAGCCAGAAAAGCCCATTGCACTCACCCACTCCCAACAAAGAGCTGCAAATCAGTAAAACAACTCAAAGAACACAGAGAGCTTTGTGTCTCACTCTTGGCCTTTGTAACATCTGCTGGCTAGCCCTGGGTCTTGGGACTTCCTTCTTTGTCCATCAGATCCCAGCATCCTGGGGTAAAGGTGCCTCTCCCTGCTCTCTAACCCCACAGCATGGGGACAGCACTGTGATAAAGTGAGCCACCTACACTCCCTTTCAAGAACACCATGGTGGGTGGTGTCAGACACAGAACTGAGTCCCAAAAGGGTCATAGGCAACTGTCCGGGAGGCTGGAGGACTTCAGCTGCCCCTCTCCCATTTTGTTTTAAGCTGGAATGACCTCATTTAACTTTGGCGAGCTGAGTATTGTCTATGAAATGGAGGTAACGACCCAGCAGGGGAGATTCCAGGACACTGGACTCTAATACAGTATGCTTGACACAAACCCACAGGGAACAGTTTCTTTGGGGGCCTGTTTCTTTTTGCTTTGTTTGTTTTTGTGTTTTGGATTTTGAGACAGTGTCTTTCTATGTAGCCTGGGTTGGCCTGGAACCCACTATCCTCCTGCCTCAGTCTCTCAACTGCCAGGATAACAGGCCTGCCCCTTCTGCCTGGCTTTGCACCTGCTTCCTGAATTAGTTGAAGAGCCCAGTGTTTGTTAGGGCTGTGTCCACGGCCTGCATCTCTCTAAACCACAGTAAAGCTGTGTACCCGGTGCCTCCCAGATGGCACCGGCCTGCTTCCTGGGACAAGTGACTGACCTTGGATCCTCTAGCTTCGGATTCATGTTGGGTTCATCCCGACCCTGGCCAGCGGGCCGTTCCTCATGTTCACTCTCTGCAACGATCTCCAAGGTCATTTCCAGCTTGCCCTGTGAACACCAATGGAACCTTATTGGCACCTCTGGACAGTGCAGAGCCAGCCCATGACAAACAGAAGGACTACATTGTCATTTTTATTTTTTAAAATACAAGGTTGCGGGGCTAGGGTCGTGGTTCAGCAGTGCTTACTGCTCAATTTCCAGCTCACAGAGAGATGGTGATTCACAACCACTGTACCCTCTTCTGACACCTACTGGACCCTGTATACCTATGGTACACATACAGACATCAGGCACAAACACAGACACATCAAATAAAATAAGCACATCATAGTTAGCGTCAGTTGCCTACTCCACACAAAATGGAGTCAAATGAGAAGAGACTACTCTCAGCTGAGGAATTGTCTAGAAAACATTGGCCTTTGGGCATGTCTGTGGAGTATTTTCTTAATTGTCGATTGATGTGAGTGATGCTGTCCCTGGGCAGGTGGTCCTGGGCTGTATAAGAAAAGGTAGCTGAGCAAGTCAAAAGAGGCAAGCCAGTAAGCAGCACTCCTCCATGGCCTCCACTTCAGTTCCTGTCTCCAGGTTCTTATCTTAAATTCTACAGTAATGGACAATGGGACAATGACCTGTAAGTCAAATAAACAAACCTTTTCCTCCTCAAGCTGAATTTGTTCATGGTGTTTTATCACAGTAACAGAAAAGCAAACTATGATATATATATATCAACCAAAGCATTGGGTTGTTCTAATCACAAAAGCGTTCAGAAATTAAAGAACTATATAAAGAAGGGGTAGTCACCCCACTTACTCAATGTGGAGACAGGTATTCACCACATTCTTTTTTACCATTTTAACCTTTGTGTTACTTTATCTTATTTTATTGGTTTGTTTTTAATTGTGTGTGTGTGCATACATGGGTGACTGAAGAGGCCAGAAGAGGGTACTGGATCCCCTTGAACTAGAGTTACAGATAACTGTGAGCCAGCCAATGTGGGTGTTGGGAACTGAACTGGGGTTTTCTAGAGTAAGACTGAGCCATCCCTCCAGGCCCCTGTTCCCAACATTCTCACTCACTGGAGCTGCAAGTGTAGGAGACAAGCACTCTGTGTGCAGCTCCGTCGCTTTTGCCCTTGCGGAGACATTTCTCCATATAATTATACATCATCTAAAGTTTGGTTCCTAATGATTGTAAAGCACTCTATGGTTGGTTGACCATAATTTATTTAATACTACTTATTTTGGCTCATTTTATGTTTTTTTTTTCAATTCTTTGAAAAGAATAAACAACAGCACAACAAGCATCCCAGAACCTAAATTTATATTGTTATCCAGTTAGTTTTTGAGATGGGAGTTTAGCCGTGGGATGGCAAAGTCCAAGGGTATGGATATTGTTAATCCTACGTTGTGTGGTGCCCAATTGCTTCCCCACACAGTGAAATAAACCATGCCTTCCCCGGCAGAAGGAACTGAGATCTGTCTCCCAAAACTTTACCAATGTGAATGTTTCTGGTCTGTTTGTTTTGTTAACCTAATTTAATAGACTAAAAAGCATCTTTTAAAATAGTCCTTTAGCTACTAGGAAATTTCTCGTGTGTAATGAGTGTCTATGCCGTGAATTAGCTCTGCATTTAGCTTGCTTTCTTTCCCTCTGGGATGTGTTTCTTATTGGTTATCACAAGTCTTTGTACAAGGACATTTTCCTTCAAGGGCCACTTGAGGGCTGGCCAACTACTCTCTCTAAAGAACCAGTCAGAGCTTAACTTCCTCCCTGGTGCTGCTTTGGACTCCAGGGGAGGACTGTTCATCCCAGTCCTCTAGTCACCCCTCCCCCACCCACCAGAGCAGACCCCTGTCAGGCAAGAATGATCCCTGAGTGGGTCCTGCACCAACAGAAGAGGCATGGCCTCTGTCCATCCAACAGGAAGCCCCATTCAGAAATACTCGGAACCAATCTCTATAAGGCCATTTGTCCAATTCAACAGGTCTCCCCTGCAACAGGAGCCTTGAGAGAGGAAGGTTGGAATAGGAAGAGGGAAAAAACCTTAGAAAATAGAAGAGACAGAGAGAGGAGGGCTAGGAGAGGGCTCAGTCAATAAAATGCTTGTCCTGCAAGAGTTAGGACCTGAGCTAGATTCCCAGAACCCACACGGAACCCCAGGCATGGTGATGTGCTTGAAATTCCAGGACTTGGAGAGCAGAGACAGGCTGTTTCCTGGGACTTGCTGGCCAGACAGCCTGGCCTAATGAATGAGCCAGAAGCCAATGAGAACTCCTGTCTTCAAAATCAATCCTGGCACCTGAGGACTAGCACCAGAGATTGACCTTTGGCCACCTCCCCTGCCCCAAACCTGTCCATTCACATACACACAAGCTTGCACATATACACACAGAGAGGAGAAGGGGGAACAGTGTGTGCCAGTGTCCCTGGGCTCCATGGGAGAGACAGCCCATGCCCTCCACTGGACTGGAGAGAACGGACTCACCGCCAGCATCTTCTTCTCACCCTCCTCTGTCACGCAAGGCCACCATCCTTTCACTGTCTTCTGCTCAAAAAGGGACACGAACCATTCAGGGTGGAAGGTGTCATCCAGCTGGTCCAAGGAGCACTTCTCAGCCGTCTTGGCTGGCTTGGGCATGCGGTTGAGATCCAGTTGCAGGGAGCCTGTGGCAGAGGGATGCTCTTAGTGGATGTAGCAATCGCTGTCTATTCAGGACCACTCAGGACCATTGTCACCTCCTCAGCTTGTCCAAGGGGTTAGCTCCACCAGCTCCCCAGCTCTTGTCCATTTCCTCTTCCCTGGATACAGCCTCCCATCATCCATTCAGGCATGCATATGTAATCTACCCATTCTGTTTCTTCACCCTGAGCACAGATGCCCACTTCTGCAGTACATCTAACTGTACAAGCCCTTCACACACCCATGGCCTCCACACACTCATTCATTCATTTGCTTAAAATGATTTTTATCATGGTAAAATATATACATAGATATATACACACATATATATGTATATATAATATATTATATATATATATACATCCATATAGTGTAGGTGTGTGTGTGTGTGTGTGTGTGTGTGTGTGTGTGTGTGTGTTTGTGTGTGTATATGTGTGCTGGTTAGGTTTGCTTATTCCACTTGACACCAGCTAGGATCATCTGGGAAGAGGGAACCTTGATTGAGAAAATACCTCCATTAGAAAACACCTGTGGCCATTTTCTTGATCAATGATTGATGTGGGAGGGCCCAGCCCACTCTAGGCAGTGCCACCCCTAGGCAGGTGGTCTTGAGTTGTATAAGAAAGCATACTGAACAAGCCATGGGGAGCAAGTCAGTAAGCAGCATTCCTCCATGGTTTCTGCTCTTATTCCATGCCTCCAGGTTCCTTCATGCCTTAATTTCCTGTCTTGGCTTCCCTTGATGATGGACTGTAACCCGTAAACCAAGCAAACATTTTCCTCTTCTGCTTGTTTTTGGTCGTAGTGTCTATCACAGCAATTAGAAAGCAAACTAGGACAGGGTGTGTGGGTGAGTACACAGAGGTATGGGGATGTGCATGTGAGTGTGCATTTATGTAGAAGCCAACGGTTGATATTGGGTATTGTGGTGGTTTGAAAAAAAATGGTCTCCATAGACTCAGGAAGTGGCACTATTAGGAGGTGTGGCCTTATTGGAGTAGGTGTGGCCTTGTTGGAGTAGGTGTGGCCTTGTTGTTTGGCTTTGAGAGCTCAGATGTTCAAGCCAGGCCAGTAGCTGCCTGCCAATCGGGATGTAGATCTCTCAGATACCTCTCCAGCACCATGTCTGCCTGCATGCTGCCTTGCTTCCTGCCATGGCAATAATGAACTAACCCTCTGAAACTGTAAGCCAGCCCCAATTAAATGTTTTCCTTTATAAGAGTTGCCATGGTCATGGTGTCTCTTCACAGCAATAGAAGCCCTAACTAAGACAGATGTCTTCCCTAGTCACTCTCCACCTCATTTTCTGAGATAGCACCTCTCACTGAACCTGGAGCTCAAAGATTAGTTGACTGGTCAGTGAGCCTGTCTCCACCTCCCCAGCACTGGGATTACAGACACATGCTGTCACACTTGTTTCTTTACGGGTGCTGGGGTCCAAACTCAAATCCTCATTCTTCTGCATGGAAAACATTTTACCCACAGAGCCATCTGCCAACCCCCACTAATTCCAACTCAGTGGCATTAGATAGCTTTGTGATGTTACACAGCTGTCCCCACTATTTCCAGAAAGTTCTCGTCCTCAAAGAGGAACTGCCTGCTAAGCAGTAACTAACTCTCTTGTCCCCTCAGCCCTGGATACCAGTGTTATCTTGTCTGTGTGGACATGCCTCTTAAAGTTACAAACATCTGCCCTTAGGTGTCTGATTTATTTCATTGAGCAAAATGTTTTCAGTCTGTCCATAGCCCTGTATATCAATATGTCTTTTACAGTTGAATCATATTGCTCTAGGGACACAATACATTTTATTTATCCAATCATCTGTTGGTGGACATGAATCATCTTCCTCCCGTGATGCCTACAGACTTCTGATGGCATACATGGGCCAAGTTCTCTGTTTCTCTTTTGAGACATAAAACATGTGATTAGGAAATGCAGTCTAGGGTGGAGAAGAGAAATCTGAGGTACCCAAAGGCAGTATTTGTTACTGGTTTAAGTTTCATTTTAAAAAACCTGTTTACCATTTTGAATGTTGTTTATTTTCTCAGTAAAAATGAAATTTTCTTTTGAAATAAACTTTCCAAAGCCTCCTTCATAAAGGATAGACTGATGCCAAAATATCTGTTTTTAAAAAAAGATTTCATGCAAAATTTAAAGGCAGGGTCTGGAGAGATGGCTCAGTGAGTAAGAACATGTATAGGACCCTCCCAGCTTCCATGCTGGACAGCTCACAACCACCTGTAGTTCTAGTTCTAGCAGAAGCACATGCCTCTAAACTCCATTGGCATCTGCATTCATGTGTAGAAACATACACACAGACACATATTAAGAATTAAATAAATATTTTTGAAAATAAAAATGGTAGAAATGATTTGTAATGTATCCTTAATATATAAAAATCTCTGAAGACCAATAATTAAAAAATGAACATTCCGAAACCACGAAAAAGAATCACCAATAGTATAACAATAGATATATTTTAAAGTTCTACCTCAAAAACAACAAATACAAATGAGAAATAAAATAGCATGTTAGAAATTATTTTTTTAAAAAAAAATAATAGCAAAAGCCAGTGTTTAGGCACAGTGGTGCCCTAGTTCATACAGAGCACAGGGGAAACCTTCCTGAGCAGCAGCTGAACAAAGTGTTTCAATCTGTGAAAACGTGCAAAGACTTAAGAGATCTTCTGCCTGGCGTGAGAAACTGTGAACAATGAGTTCAAAGATGGATACTGGGGGTGGGGACCACTCACACTGGAGAACCTGAAGATAGCCAACATCCACCAAGAGATACAGCCAATCAAAACAGGGTACATTTGCCTGATGGAATGCCAGGCAGACATCTGTGTGGTAATGCAGATGTCCATGTAGATAGACACCTACTACGGTCAGGAGAGGACAAGCCCATTCACACACACAGGGAGGTATTCAAGTATACATACACATCACACATGTGTATATGTATAAAATGTGGATATGATGCACAAGTGTTCATTTATATTCATATATGCCAGGCTATCTCTGAATGATGAAATAGGGAAAAAATACATTGTTTAGTTCTATTTTTCTATAAGAATCCTGCATAGAACAGATAAAATAACAAGATTCAAACTTAGAGTCATCATTTTTACACCCCACTATTACAATGAACTTCCCAAAATAACCCCATCCCATGTGTCACAGCTAGCCCTGGAATGACGGGGGAGGGGGGCTGGGCAGGAAGACCAGTACACAGACAGGCAGGCATGCCCATCAGGACCTAGAGCTATGCAAAAACACACTCCTTTCTGACTTCTGTAGACAAGGGCCACCCAGGAGGGCATCCGTGACCTGTCCAGAGCCCCCTTGCTGCCAGATGATGGGTCAGAACTTGAAACCAGGGCTCCTGACCTCCCAGGCTACCTTTGTTATGATTTTACTATTTGTTTCCAACAGTGGTAAAATTCACATAACACAAAATACACCACTCCAGGGGCTGGAGATGCCCAGCAGTTAAGAGCACTTGCTGCCCTTGCAGAGGACCCAGGTTTGATACCCAGTTCCCATAAGATGGATCACAACCATCTGTAACTCCAGTTACAGAGGATCTTGCTGTGGGATGGTCTGTGCCCCCTCCTCAGTTTTAAGCAGTCATGTACCCAAAAAAAAACCACGCCTCTATCAAGCCAGATACCCCAAGGTCATTGGCAGAGCGAAGTCTCACAACAGGATCTGATGCCTTCTTCTGGCCTCTGTGGGCACTGGTAATGGACATGGTGCACATACATGATTGCAGACTGAATACTCATATGTATAAAATAAAAACAAATCTTGAATTTCTAAAAAATCCACCACTCTGAGCATGTTCAAATCTACGGTCAGGAGTTGTGCTATCATAGACCTCCACCTAATTCAAAATATTTCCAGCACCTAGAAAGAAACCTGTCTTTTTGTCTACCAGACACTGGCTCCCCATGCTTCCCATTAGTCTACTCTTTCCTGCTTTGGATGTGTGTGTGTGTGTGTGTGTGTGTGTGTGTGTGTGTGTGTGTGTGTGTGTGTGTGTTTGTGTTCATGTTTGTACAGACGCACATTTGTGTGTACATGTACCTGTGCCTTTAAAGGCCAGAAATCAACCTCAGATGTTGTTCCTCAGGGGCTATCCACCTTGTTTTCTGAGACAAGGTCTTTCACTAGCCTGGAGCTGGCCAAGTAGACTACATTGAGTCCCTAATGAGTATCAAGAATCTGCCTATCTCTACCTCCCCAGCTCTGAGATCACAAGTAAGTGCCGCCACATCTGGCTTTAAAAAAAAAAACCAAAAACACATAAGTTTTGGGCTTGAAGCCAAGTGCTCAGGCTTGCACACCAAGCACTTTGCTGACAGAATTGCCTCCCTGGCCTTCTTCCCCTCTTTAGATCTGCCGGGTGTGGGCTAGATGTGGAATTATGTAGCACTTGTCTCTCCTCCTCTGCCACTTAGCATGTTTTCAAGGTCCCCCAAATGGAGTCGGGAGCAGTACCTCTTTCCTTTGTGTAAATGAACAATGCACAGGTATGGACAGACCACGTTTCATCATTTTCCTGCTTTCGGTAGGGCTGTTACTAACCTGTTTCTCTCCCAGCACCCCTGCTGGCCCCATACCACTCCCCCTTGTCTTCATGCCTACCCTTCAGCCCAGCTCCCCATGCCTCAGCTTAGCTTCTCAGGCTGGCCAACCACAGCCCTGTTCATCAGGAGAGTCTCTGAGGCACAAAGATAAGCAGTGACCTGGTCCTCACAATGTCTGGCCTCTGTACTGCTAAGCTGTCGGAAGAGAGGCCAGGCAGCCGCACCGGCTTCTGCCCACGCCCCTGCTCTTCCTCATGAGTTCCACTATCTCACACAGCTCAAGGATCACCTCTGCTCAGGACCCACTCCAAAGCCACCCTGATCTGACAGTGTTCTGTGTTACATACTGCACTTAAGCTGGAGACTCACTGACCCTGAACTTCTTGAGGGAAGCTCAGAAGGATAGAAACGAGACTTACCCAGAAAGTCATCAAAAGAGAACTTGTCATTGTCCCAAATCTGGAAGACCACGCGTGCTGGGATCTTGCTCTCTGTCTTGTCGAGTCTCCAGAAGGCATCCTGACCCAGAGTAGGATTAAGGAAGCAAGGTTAGAAAAGTTTGTCCACAGCCGCAAACAGGGAAGCCCCGCTAGCCTGGGAGGCTCCAGGCTCCAGGCTGGAGCAGTGTGTCCCTGAGGGTCATGTTGAAGCCAGGTCCTAGCAGGAAGACTAGGAAGGGCCTGACCGTGGTCATGGGTGTGATAGCTGGTTTTTAATGTCAACTTGCCACAACTTAGAATCACCTGAAATAAGAGTCTCAGTTGAGGAACTGTCTAGATGATGTCGGCCTGTGGGCATGTCTGTGGGGAATTGTCTTAATTGTTCATTGATATAGGAAGGATCTGGCTTATTGTGGGTGGCACCATTCCCTAGGCTGGGTCCTGAACTGTCTTCCAACAACCTAAGAAGGAAATGCAAACTTTCAGCTGAGAAACCCAAAGCACATAGAGTGTCCAAGGACACAGAATAGGGAGTGGCAAGCTGGGATTCAAACCCAGGCAGTCAGGTTCCAGGGTCCTGCTCTCAGCCCTAACCTGGGCTTTGCATATGTGGTCTCTGGGATGTGTGGGCTGGCAGAGAGCATTCAGAGTGTACCCCCAGCTGTTGTTGAGAGGAAGCAAGGCACACTGCTGTAAGTAGCTGGCACTGAGGCAGGTCCCCAGATCCTCCTTCCTACTCCTCTAGCTCACCCCCACCTCCAGGGCCCACCAAGAAGTTTCCCCTTCCTGCTAGAAGAGGACACTTGGCCTTGTGGCCTCTCTCCCATAGCCCACAAGTCAGTTCCTTCTGGAACCAAGCATCTGAGAGATGTGGGAGTGAGTTGGCCAATGAGTCACTTGACCAACAAGTGAGTTGGTCATTCTCCACCTGGGACTGTCACTGGGCTTCTCTGTTCACTGTGGAACAACCTGAGCAGGTAGCAATGTATAGGAAACATCCTGTGGAGCCAACCTGAGACCTGGCCCCACATCTCCTGGTACAAGATGGGGAATTAGATCAGGTTAGGCCAGGTAACCACAGGAGTGTCTGGCCCCAGATGCCATGAAGATGGTTAATCTTCTATGTCAACTTGACAGTATTTAGAATAACCTAGGAGACACACATAGAGCTGTGTCTGTGAGGGTTTTTCCAGGAAGGTTTAACAGGGGAAACATCCTCCCTGCAGGGGGCATCATCTCAGGGGCTGGGTTCCCAGAATGAATGGAAAGGGGGAGAGGAGGAGGACAGCTAAGTACTAGCCGCCTCCCCTCCTTGCTTCCAGTTCTGTGGAGAAGTCACTGCACATTCCCCACACTACACCTTCCATGATGGACCGTCTCTCTTTAAATCATCAGCCCAAATAAACATTTCATCCCTTACATTTCTGTCAGGGACAGTGTTACAGCAACAGCAACAAGTAGCTGATGAGCCCACCAAACCTGCCACGAACACCCCAGCCTTCATAGTCACACACACACACACACACACACACACACACACACACACACACACACACACCTCACTCACCAAACTTCCTAAGGGAAGACCGTGGCCACTGTCCACAAAGAGTGGCCATTACGCACAGTGCCATAGCCTGGGCTGAGGCCTGCATTGAAGGAAAGCAGACCAAGGCTGGCCCCAGCCACCCCTCTCTGTCTCTGCCTCCTGCTTGGCTGCCTGGCCCAGCCTCCTGCAGGTGCCTGCTTCCTCTAGCCAGCTTTTACAGCCAGCTCCAGGCTGCCTGCAGGGCCGCCAGCAACCTCCATTCCTCAGCAGGCTGGTTTACGGGCTCAGTAATGAGTCCGAGGTTCAAACAGCCCCTGGTGGGAGCAGCTGGTCAGGGGCTCAGCCTGGGGAACGAGCCCCCCCAGGTCCCAGGCGCTCATTATGCTCCCGGCCTGGGCCCTTTTACTGGCTGTTTATTTGCAGGGTGAGGGCCTGCCTGCATGGCAGACCCCGGTGGGTGTGCTGGACTCCAGGTGGGGAAGAAGGCTGAACAACCAGCGGGGGTTCAAAACAGTGGGATGAAAGGAGACCTTGTATTTTATGACAGTCTCGTCTGGTTAATGGGGTCCCTGGAGGGCCTGCCCGCCTGCCAGGGGCCCCAAACCTCATGGCAGAGGGCTGCTTCTGCAGCCAGAACCTGGGAGCCCACAGCCTTTGCAGCCCCCGCCCTCACCCACCCCATCCTGTCTTCAGAACAGCTAATCAGTGCCCCACTGTGGGCAAGCTCCACCTGCCTCTCAGGATCCAGCCCTAGAAGTGTCTCCTAGCCCTGCTGCCGCCCTCCTGGCCATTTCTACTTGATCTGTCCCTCCTGTCTCCAGCCATTCTCTGCGTGGAGACTCGTCTCCTCCTCCTCCTCCTCCCCAGACGGGTGTTGCCTCACTCCTGGGCACCTTCCTCCTCTGCATCCCACTCCCTTTGTGGGCCCTTCCTTCTTCCAGCAGGCCAATGACACTCTTTCCCTGTGGCCTAAACAAGCCATTCTGTTTGGACTCCCTTTGTGGGTCAGCCAGCTTGCCTTTCTGACCAGGGCCTTCAACAGAAACAGAACACCATGAGTGCCAGGGCAGGGCCAGCCTGGCTGTTAGCCAGCCCCTGCGACCGGTCCTCAGAACTGCCAGGTGACAACTCTCCGCTACCAACCTGCACGCCCTCACCCCACCCATCCTCCACGCCCTCCTTACGCGGCCACATGTGCGTGCCTGGGTGCATGTCTCTCGTCATCATTACAGCTACTCCCCATTTTTTCACCCATCTCAAATCACTTGTCCTAGTGCCAAATTTTCTTCTTACTTCACTGAAGGAAACAGGAAGCCCTTGCTCCAGACATGCCTGGCCACATCCCCCTCAATGTGGTAAAAAAAAGGCTGTGGCCCCTCCCATTCAAGCAACCCATGTGCATCTCTGCCTCAATTTCCCCACCCAGGCCTACCCCCTTGTAGGGCTCCCTGAGCCCTGGAGATGGTGTGTACAGTGTTGGTCTTTCTGCTTTGCTCCTAGCCTCACCCTCCCCGTCCACAGCTAGAGGAGAGATCCTTCTGTATTCGATGAAGGCTCTCAGACAGGTACAGTGTCTGCTGAAGCTCAAAGCTTCTAGAGAGCCTAGGCGCTGCTGGACTTCACACAACCCTGCTGCTAAATTTGGCTTTCTTTTCCGGTGGCCCCTACTGCCGGCTCTGGGTTGAAGAATCCCTGTAGCCCTGACAAATCCCTATTTTCTTTTGGATGGCTTCTGAATGTTTGGCAAGACACTCTGGTTTCTCTGAGGTGCAGATGAGTCTGTGTGTTGGGTTGGGCCGGTTCAGGCAGGGGAGGGGCAATGAAGAGAATTCAGAGGTCCAGGAAGCCAGTGTATTTGGACTTTCCTTCAAGGTAAAGGCACACTGGGGCCTGGGGAGACAGGCGTCCTCTGAGGCTGTAATGAGCTGCCTCTGGGTGGAAATTAAACCAACAGTACCCAAGCACATGCAGGCACGTACTCTGAGAGGGGAGCACCTCCAGAAGCCATTGGTATCAAAGGAGGAAGGGGGCTGAATGCATCACCGGGCCTTCCTCAAACCATCCTGGCTGAAGACCCACATGGTCCCATGCCCATGCATTGTGCTGTGCTGCCCTCATAGGGTAGATCAGGTGTGGGGAAGAGGCTGCCATCTTGAACTTGGACCATTCAAGACTGCAGAGACCAATATTTAGATGAGACCTAAATTTAGAGCTACTAAGAATCTAAGCCACCCCCCACCCCCACCCCTGACCCTGCGCAGGCCAGCTCTGCCCTTCGAGGAGTATACAGCTGGCTCTACCCTCTGCCCCTGTGATGGCCATGCTGGGCCTCCAGATTCTTCTGCTTCAAGCCCCAGGTTCTTCCACACTGCTAAGTGTACGTGTGGAATGGTAAGATAGGCAGTGGCAGTAGGGCTTGAACTTGACTGTGTGTTAGGTGTGTGTTGTGTGGTCGTGGGTCATCCTGACAGGTAGAGACACTGACAACAATAATACTCGCAGAAAAGGAAAAAGACATGGGGTACAGAGATGGTGGTGACACCCTTGAGGGTAACAGAGATAGGGATCAGAGCTGCCGGGGTAGTAGAGAGAATGCATCAGTGTCAGCCGTAATCACATTAGCAGTATGAAGTCACGAGAGCCTGATCCCCAGGCCAAGGGCCACTCACCTTCTTGGCAACAGCACAGACTTGCTCGGCGGGCAGATAATCGAACGGGAACACAAACCTCCAGTTGAAATTTCCCTCGCCACCAAGGGAGCGGTAGTGCACATCTGTCTTCTGTTTGTGTTCTTCAAATCCCACCATCCAGCTAGCCACACATGGAAGAGGACAGTCCTCATCAGCCCAAAGCTCACAAATTCCAGGACATTTCCCACAGACCTCCACAACCAGGTGGGCAACCTTGACTTGGACCAGTAAAGAGTTTGGAAGTGAAGGAACTTGGTAAAGGAATTCCCAGGAAATCTCCATGGTGCCCACGGCATACCACAGAAAGGGACCATCTAATGTCTCAGCAGGTCCCCCAAGAGCATCCTCAGTCCTTGCCATTTTATAGCTCAAAGAAATTGAGGGAAATGACTCCCCAAAGGTGCAGACCACCGCTGTGAGACCTTCCTTGGATGGGCATCTTCTCCATCTCCACACCACAGATCTGCACAGGGAGCACCCCCACCCACCTCTGGGAGCTGGGGGGTGCCTGGAGCTGGCCCGGGTGGAAAACGACGGGACCCTACCCTTTCACATAGATGTCACTCATCTTCTCCCCCGTGAGGCTGAGGTCATCCAAGATCACATCTTTTGTGTTCCAAATAATACAACGCAGGAAAAACCTGTGGGGGCGGGCAGGGAGAATGTATCTGCATAGGTACTCCAGCAAGATATGATGTCCCCAGCTGACCGGCCAGCTCATCCGAGGAGTCCTTCCACCTGGTTGGCTGGACACTTAGCCAGACCCAAACAAGCTGTGTTCCAAGATCCCAGTGAACCCAAACCTGTCCAACAGGCAACCTTCTTCCCTCTCTCCCACAGTTCGCAGTTGCTGTGGCCCTCCTGCCTCCAGCCCAGCTAGAGCCCATGGCCAGGCTAGCACCTTCTAGCTCTCCGTGGGGTGATGTTGAAAGGGGGTCCAGGCCGGCCCAGCACCTTTGGAAATAGGTCAATCCACATCTGTAACTTCCCCTGTAAAGACACAAGCAGTTTATTCATGTTCTACATGAATGTGTGTATGCATGCACACATGCGCGCGCGCGCACACACACACACACACACACACGCACGCACATACACACACACATTTCTTATTGCATCCATAGTTTCTGTACCTGCCTAGTGTACACACCTGGGGATCAGGACAAAGGCTCAGCACCCAGGAAAGGAGGGACCCTAAATAGATCGATGCAGGACCCACCACAGACGAGAGATCACAGCCCTCCAGGCACAGGCTGCTCAGAGACACTGATGTGTCGGCTGTGGCCCAGTGTGCAGAGAATGATGTGTGCAATGCCACAGAGGGCCAGGGAGCCAGAGTATTCATAAGGACTCAGGTCTCTGTGACAGAAGCCACTTTCCCTGCCTAGTTCCCTCGGCAAGCCCAGGAAATTTTCTCTCTCTTAAAATGCAAGAATTAAAGTAACTTGGTTCAGTAACATCTGTAGGATCAAGGGGCTGGCGGACGAGAGAGTTTAACCTGGGCTGCTCTGGGAGACTGGGAGCCAGCCCACCTAGGAAAGAGCCTGCTCCTCTCAGAGACATCCTCAGAGCTTCCCCTGGCTTCCTCCAACCAGCCTGGCTGCCAGTCTTAAGCTTGTTCTCTATTCACCTGTCTTCCAGAAGGGGAGCCCCCAGCCCCCCTAACCACTCTCCATGGGCCTCTGCATTCTAGAGGTCCTGGATCTAGTCTGAGCCCTCAGCTGTAGCTCAGTACAGGATGACCTTCTGGGACTAAACCACTATCAACGGCAGATAGAGGTCACCCTTAGGCAGGGTTGAAATGGAAAGGCTTCAGACGCCCAGGCAAGGCAGAAGCTAGGCCCACCTGTGCCTAAAGCAAGCTCTGGCTTTGTTTCCCAGGCAGTAAGGGCCAGACCCTGAAAGCCCATGTAGATGACTCTGGGAAGAAATGAGCCACAGAGAGAGTGACAGATCTCCAAGTCCCCCGGGTGTTTTGGCTGTTGTGGCCATCCTTGAGATGTAGCTCTCTGGGGTCCAAGGACTCCACAGCTCAAGGGACAAGGACTTACCTGCTCAATATCTGGCTGCAGAGGGCTGTAAAGAGGCCGTGACTCCACGTGCTCAGGGACCAGGCCTTGCTGCTGAAGGACATGCAGGGCTAAGCGTTCCTCCACTGGGCCTAGGTGGGGGTTCGGGAGTCTACCAGCCTCTGCCCCAGAAAAACAAAAAGTGACCGGGGATGTGAGAGACAAGACAGCAGTGCTGCCTTCCTCTGAACGTTGGGTTCAACTCCTGGGGGTCACAGGGAATCCCTCTTCATGACAGACCATCCCCACAAAGATGCACCGTGCTGGTCTTTATGCCTCGCTTTCTAGGAGGGAAATGTCACCGCCCGCAGACTCCAGACTTCAAATACAGATTCCCTATTGCTGTCCTTTCTAATAAGTCTCTTCTGGAAAATTCTTAGTTTCCATCCACACAATCTTCCTTGTCTTCCAAAGCCCACTCATCCATCTATTCTTAAGTACTCCAAAATCTGAGCCCCAGCAACCTGTACGTACAACCTGTACAAACCTGGTAGCACTCAGATGCCAGAATGATGCCCTGGTTCACGTAAGTTGTGTGAATGGCAGTAGCTACACTCAGGAATCACAGTAAACACTTCTACAGAGGACCCATGTGCCATGCGCTGCTCACATAAATGTTAGCATATCTGATCCCTAGAAGGACCCTCGGGGCTGAGTACCACTGCCATCCCCATTTCACAGATATGAACCCTGCAGAAGCCCTACACCTGTGCACTGGGGCAGCTGGGATCCGACTCAGTTAGGAAAGGTAAACACGTGCTTCTTCTGCCTCTCGCTTCTGGTGGGACAGCTCCCCACTGCCAGGTGACTTGGGGACAGGTGCTATGAAGGGAAGAAGCCAGGCTCCTCTCTGTACCCAAGGCCTTGGCTGCAGGAGTGCAGGAATGATGAAACCCATATGCACTCCCACACTCACACACCCACTCACCCACGCACCCACTCATGTATGCTGCTGGGTTACTGTTCTTTGGAGTCAAGCACACTGTCATATGGTGGGTGCTGCAGGGCCAAGAGTGTGGCCCGCACCCAGCTGACTGGTGACTTTGGGAAGGTCGTTAAGTACCCCTGGCCTCAATGGCTTCGTCTGCAAGGTGAGGCAGATGCTGGACCTCAGGATTTAATGACCAAGAGCCCCTGTGTTAAAGTTGCTAGCAGAGCAGCGGTTGCCCCCAGAGGAAATGAGACTCCCCCCTCAACCAGACGCACATTCTTAATGACTGAGCCTGGCTCAAGCCCTGGGAGAGTCGGGAACACAGAGCAAGGAGGAGGGGGTGGGGCACAGGCATCAAAGCTGTCATTTCCTTTTTTATAACCTCAGCACCAGCCCTGACATCAAACATCTCTGCAACAAGCAGGAGGCACAGGGCCAGCTGGGCTTGTAAACACCTCAGGGAGTTGGAGCTGCCCTGGGTGGGCGATGTGGGAGCGTGGGCATCTCAGACACATGGAGAGCATGTGGCAGGGCATCTCAGCTACCACACTGGGCGGAGCCAAGGGCAAGGATGGGGTGTGGCCTGTTGGCTGCCCCCGGATGCTTAGGTGTAGGGGGTTGGAAATGTTCGCCAAGGTCAAACAAGCAGGCCAGCACAACTCAGTAGCAAGAGCGCCTCAGAGGCGCATATACCACAAGCTCTGACCAAAGTCTGACCACCAAAAGGAGACAGATCCTGCCCCGACCTCAGTCCTGCCTGCACACTTGCCTGAAATCTCACCTTCTGTTCGAGTTTGCTTTCTTTTCTGGTGATAAAACACTCTGGCCCAAAGCAACTTAGAGGAGGAAAGGGCTGGCTGGGCTTACACTTCCGGGTTATAATCTATCATTGAGGGGCAGTCAGCACAGGGCTGAAGCAGAAACCAGAGGAACGCTGCTTACTGGCTCACTTACCCGCTCATGCTCAGCTTGCTTTTTTCCACAGCCCAGGTCCACCTACCTAGAGGTGGTGCCACCCACAGTGGGCTGAGCCCTCCCCATCAACCAAGACAATCTCTCATAGACATGGCCACAGATCAACCTGATCTGGACAATTCCTCAATCGAGGCTCCTCTCAGATTACTCCAGGCCATGCCAAGTTGACAATCAAGGCTAACCCAGACACCCTCCGACGACTTCACCATGGTTCTGGACAGAGATCTGGCGTGGCTCCACCCTGACCTCTGACCTCTGACCTCCAAACCGGTACTCCTTTACTCTGCTGATGTGGTGTGTGTCCACCTGGGCCTTTCTGATGAGACAAAAAGCCCACTATGGCTGGGACAACAGGGCAGCTCACCTATCTCCTCAATGGTGTATTCCTTATCCTGAAATGTCACTCGGTCTGTCCGGTACACGGGGGCCTTGACCCTGTGCTGCTGGCAGAAGAGCTGGAGGAGCTGCGAGGGCCGGAGCTGGTCTCTCCACTGGTTTGGTCCAGAGCTGAAGCCCAAGAACAAGACGAAGATGAGGCCCTCCGAGAACACAGAGGGGGTGCCCTCAGTAGCCTGTGCACCCCACGCTCACACGGCATTGCCCGCCCTTCACCATCACAGCGCGTGCCCCTTCTGGATAGCTCAGTGTCCCCATCTCACAGGTGGGGAAACAGAGGCCCAAAGAGCAAAGGACTGAATGAAGCGCTCATGAAACTGGAACTCGAATGCCACACACAAAGGCCCCTGCCAGTCACAGAACTCCCTCAGACCCAGCTGAAGCTCCTTCATACTATCTTCTCCTTTCCTTCTCTCCATCATCCCTCCCTCTCTCCTTCCGGGCACCCAGTCCCCTGCAGACCTTGGTGTGTGTCACAGGACACTGGAGCCAGGTATAGTGGCACATGCCTTTAATCTCAGCACTCAGGAGGCACAGGCAGGTGGATCTCTGAGTCTAAGGACAGCTTGGTCTACAGAGGGTGTCCCTGGACAGCCAGGGCTATACTGAAAGGCTGCATACACAGATTCAAATTCTAATCTTGCCAGTTACAAGCCTCTGTTTCCACGTCTGTGGGGTGGGAACAGTTGGGTTCAAGGAGAGAACACCTGGGCTGGCACCTAGCCCTAAGTAAGAATCAGCCTTGGGCACTTACACACAGTAGGTCTGTGGGAGCGCACAGCCAGCCTTGGGCACTTACACACAGTAGGTCTGTGGGAGCCCACAGCCAGCCTAGAGCACTTACACACAGTAGGTCTGTGGGAGCCCACAGCCAGCCTAGGGCATTTACACACAGTAGGTCTGTGGGAGCCCACAGCCAGCCTAGGACACCTACACACAGTAGGTCTGTGGGAGCCCACAGCCAGCCTTGGGCACTTACACACAGTAGGTCTGTGGGAGCCCACAGCCAGCCTTGGGCACTTACACACAGTAGGTCTGTGGGAGCCCACAGCCAGCCTTGGGCACTTACACACAGTAGGTCTGTGGGAGCCCACAGCGAGCTCCAAACTTGGACAGCAGCCTGTTCTCCAGGTCGATGACTGTCTCCCCAATCTTCTCGTCCTTGGAGAGGAGGTCATAGTCATAGAGTGTGATCTTCAGGTCCTTCTCCAGAGGCAGGGTGCAGGTGAGCTCGAACATCCTGCAGGAGAGCCGGCAGTGTCAGACACTGCAAACCCGGAGGCATCCACCCAGTGCACGGAGTCAAGGGGCTAAGAGCAGAAGACTGAAAGCCATCCTAGGGGGTCCCCCCTCAGGTCTCCCGTCACTTCTAGAACACGCCACCCATAGTGCAGCTGTACTTAGCATGTCTCTGTGCCTTTGTGTGTGCATGTGCACGTGTGTGTGTGTGTGTGTGTGTGTGTGCACATGTGTGTGTGCATGTGTTCATGTGTGTCAGGTTTTCCTAAACTGAGCTGGCTGCTTGGTTCATGCACCCCATAATGAATAGATGAATGAGATGGAACATAACACTGACACCTGTGTTTCTCTGTGGCGCCAGGAGACAGAGATGGGAAACTCTGTAACTGAGGGCATGCCCAGAACCTACTTTCAGGACTTCTGGGGCTGTACACCAACTTCCAAGATGGAATGGAAGGAGGGCTTATGGAAATGGTTCTTGGGAGGGAGCTCCTGTGAAGTCTACACACACACACACACACACACACACACACACACACACACACACGCCACATAACCACTACCTCTGTGCCAGGTGCCAGAGCTCATGAAACCCCTTCTCTCCACCCCCCATCCTCTCCTAAGCATGGCAGCAAACTACTGCTTGCTGGCTCTGGGGCTGTCTCTCCAAAAGCTGCAGCCAGGGTGACTTCAGCTGAGCCAACAGATGCCAGCATGGATGCTGCATGGGAAGACCAGGATTGCACAGGAGCTAGACAAACAACAGCCATGGGCCTCCCCCACCTCAAAACACTTTTGAGCAAACCGCAACTCGGGCCCCCGGGAGCCAGCCACATGCCGCAGTGCTCAGCCCTCTCCTCTTGCTCTTCGAGTTGCTCATGCCCTGGCTGTCTTGGGTCTACCCTTCATCCCCTAGCTGACTACCATTAAAGCATGTGGGCACTGAAAGAATAACTGCTGGTAACTTGGCACTTGCAATGGACAGGGACAGTAAGGGACACTGGTGGAAAACCAGTAAGTCCTCATAAAGACTCCTGGCTAATCATAACATACCAGCGACAACATCCTCATTTAGGCAAAGGCACCAGTCAGGTAAGCTGCTAATGAGGAACATGGGGAAGGTTATATGGGAACTCCAGTCTGTAAGAAATGCACTTTCTGAGTACTCATGCAGTCTCTGGTCTTTGAGGTGACTGTCTCTGTGCTTATCCATGAGCTCCTGACAGGGTTTGAGCATGCGCTCGCAGACATAAAAGATCCATAATAAAGGCTCTGCTCCACGAGACAAAGACTTCTTAAGTGGCAGCCACATCTGCCCACTGAACTGTGAGTTTTCCATGCCAGCCCCTCTATCCCAAACCCAAGCCACTTCCCACTTACTTTCCAAATACGGGCTCCAGGGTGCAAGGGATGTAGTTATCCTGGTCACTCACTGATTTCTTCCCTATGGAGATCTTGATGTAAGGGTCGCACTGGAGGACACAGAAATGAACGAATAAAATCACTGGGTCAAAGTGTCTTTGGGGCTTCTGGCTTCCAATGGCCATCAGGGAGCTGTGATGAAGATAGTGTCCTGTCCAGCCAGGGCCCATCCTCCACACGACACCACACCACATGACACCACACCACAGCACAATACACTATACCATACATGTCAGACCCACCACACCACACCATACCATACCTTATCACATCATACCATACCACATCACACTACACTGCACCACACCACAGCATACATACCACATCATACTGTAACACACCACAGCATACCATGCCACACCGTACTGTAACACATCACAGCCTACCATGCCACACTGTACTGTAACACATCACAGCATACCATGCCACACTGTATTTTAACACACCTATATTTTAACACACCACATCTTACCACACCACACCATTATACTACACCATACCATGCCATACCGTACTATACTCTGTCACATCATACCATACTACACCATACCTTGCCACATTGCATCACATCACAGCATACCACACCTCACCACATTACACTGCACCATACCACATCACCTCACCATGACATAACTCACCCTGTGCCCCCCTATGGCCAGACAGGTCTTCTAGCCTCTCACATCTAGCAGTGGGAAGGGTGAGTGTCCTATACTCCTGACCCACTGGCACATGGGAAGAGGTAGGTGTGGTTAGACCCCAACCCTCACACACACACGACCATATATTCCTAGGCCAGGTTGGGGTTCTCTCTATTTTCAAGTGGCCTGTTTCCAAAGATGGAACGAGACAGACAGGGCTACATTTTGTCCAGTAGAACAGCCTGGGCCTGTCTTCTGGACGCTACCTCTAAGCAGCAGCAGACTTGGCACCATCCTGCAGGAATATGACAAGAGAGAAGAGCAAAGGCCAGCGCAGTGCCGGGAAGCCTTGAAGACTACAAGCCAGGGTGACAGCAGTATCCTGGAGGCCATCCGTGCTGCCCAGGCCAGAGTGATGACTTCTCGTCTTTGAAAGGCAAGGCTGTGGGGATTGGAAACCAGGCTTCTGACCCCAACCTTAAGGACACATACTGGAGCCTGAACCCATCTAAGAGGACAAGGAAGGAACTGAGGCTTGAACCTCTAAACTCCAAGTGCCCACTCCTGCCTTGCTGTTCTCTCTTTTTCCAGCTCTTCTCTCTCTACCAGCTCCTCTCCTTCAGCCCTCCTTCCTCCATCTCTGGCCAGGACTTAGCTCTGTCTCTTGCTTCAGACATGAAATTTAAGGGAAGATCTAAAAACTCAGTAATCCAGAGAAATGATATTTTGTTGTGGTATTTTGTGAGTTGGAGAGATGGCTCAGAGGTTAAAAACTGGCTGCTCTTCCAGAGGACCCAAATTCTATTTCCAGCACCCACGTGACATCTCACAACTGTCTCTAACTCCAGTTCCAGGGGATCCAATGATGTACTCTTCTGGCCTCTGCGGACACCAGGCACATATGTGCTACACAGATAGATAGATAGATAGATAGATAGATAGATAGATAGATAGATAGATGATAGATAGATAGATGATAGACAATAGATAGATAGGTAGATAGATAGATAGATAGATAGATAGATAGATAGATGATAGATAGATAGATGATAGACAATAGATAGATAGATAGATAGATAGATAGATAGATAGATAGATAGATGATAGACAATAGATAGATAGATAGATAGATAGATAGATAGATAGATAGATAGATAGATAGATAGATAGATAGAGGATAGATAGATAGAGGATAGATAGATAGATAGATAGATAGATAGATAGATAGATAGATGGATGCACAAATACCTATACACATAAAATAATAATAAAAATAACTTTTACAAAGTCAGTACCAACAGCTTGTGATGCACAGAGCGTCAACATTGGCAGAACAAGCCTTCCTGGTTTCCCTGGGCCTCCAGCCCATGGCCCACAGAAGTCACCAATCCTGTGCCTCCCTCCCTGCGCTCCTTCCCTCCCAGCACTAAAACCTCACCAGATTCAGCCCTAACCTCTGCCCACTTTACCACAGGCCAGAGCCCAGTTCTACCTGTGAACTGAGCAGTCAGCTTTCAAGCCTTCACCTATGTTCCAGCCACCCTTAAAATCCAACTTCCTGTCCCTCCTGGCCTCCCAGTGTTCCTGTGTCCACAAGGGTCCTTTTCCTTCCTTCAAGGTTTCCCCATTTTTCCAGAGCTCCAAACAGACTCTTTCCTCCCTGACCTCCTGGGGTTGCTCCTCACAAAGATCCCCCAGCTCCCGTTCAGCTCTGCAAGTGTCTTTGGGTTTCCTGGTTCACTGTGGCCTTCCTGGGACAGAAATTCTGTCTGCCTTCCTCAGGTCAAGCTTGTTATTATTCTCAAGGGACCAAGGGCCCCAAGAATGTTACCTTGCCATTGGGGTCCTTGGGTTGTAAGCCAAATGCTCGTACGATGTAAATACGGACCAAGCATTCCTGGGGGCCCTGGGCAGCCAGCTGGTGGAATTGTCTCGGGGGTATGGGGATGGCTGGATCTTCTGGGAGAGGATAAATTTTGAAGAGACCCTAAAAGAAATGGGGACTTGATTTTCATTTTTGTCATCATTGTCAATAATACAGTAAGCAACAGGACCATTACTCTCATTTCTGAGCACCGTCACCATGGAGACCATGGAGCCAAGCTCCAAACTACCCGACACCACTATCCAATCCTGCATCAGCCACAAGGTCACCCCCAAGGACACCAGCAGCAGCACCATGGCCACTGTGGCCACTACCTCTCCCCCACTCACTTATTGCTGCAACCTCCCATTCGTAGGCAGAGCCAGGGACAGACCTTAAATTCCCCGATGACAGACGGGTCTTCTGCCTCCTCCTGAGTCTTGCCCCGGTAAAGCTTGAAGGTGTTACAAAAGTCCGACAGGCCTTCAAAAGCCTCCACGTTCTCCAACTGTGTGTCATAGACCTATCGCCAGCCGGGATGAGAAAAGACTCAAGAGCAAGAAATTCGGGGGCAGAAAGGGAAGAAACCGGAAAGGAAGGCAAGCAGGCAGTGTGAGTGAAGGAAGAGAAGAGACAGAAGAGAAGACAGGCATTGGACAGGGTCAAAAGTTAACAGAGGAACAAGAGCAAACAGGAGGGTTGGAAGGTGGAGGAGGGGAAGCCAAGGAGGAAAAAGGAGAGAAAGAAATGGAAAGAAAGCCAGGAAGGGAGAGGAGGGAAGGTGTTTGTTAGTCTATTAGGATGTAGGGTTTCAGCTTAATCAAATTTTCAAGTTACCCGAGACTCACAGAAGTGACACATTTTAAGGGATTAAGATTAGAAACAAATGAAAATTTAACCTTCTGTGTGAAGAGTCAGTCATAATCCTCATATAGTCTAGAATTCACTTTATTTTAATTATTTGATCTCAGACTTGGCTGATTAATTGGTTTCTAATCTCTTATAATTAACATGAGTTCTTAAGGCTAAAAATGGCTCTGAATGCTACCTTACCTAAGTAAAGTTCAAGGTCTAACGTTTTATGGCTGTCTCCTTAATATTCAATAGTTTGGGTTTGTTTCCTCTTCTTCTCAAATCTTATTTTTTTTTTGAAGTGTGAAGGGGAGTGTGGTGGTTTATGCCTGTGATCCCCGTACTCAGGCACTGTAGGAGGATCAGAAGCTCACAGTCATCCTCACTATATGGTGAATCTGAGGACAGCCTAGGGCACATAAGTTCCTGTGCCCCCCAAAAGTGTTTAACAATATGATTTCTTTTGAATTCTCCAGGTAAAGGAGGCTATGGGGATTTTTAATCTTGTTATTAATTTTTAGTTTTAAAGCCTTATGGCCAGAAAGTGGTACGTGTGACATTGCCTCTTAAAAACTCATCAAGGCTTTCTTCACAACCTGGTACATGGTCAGCTTTTCTACCTTGAATCTATCTATTGTAGTTAGATGTCCATTCAAGATCTGATGTTAAATGTTGCAATAAGGCCAGGCATGGGGGCCCACACCTTTTTTTTTTTTTTTTTTTTGGTTTTTCGAGACAGGGTTTCTCTGTGTAGCTTTGCGCCTTTCCTGGAACTCGCTTTGGAGACCAGGCTGGCCTCGAACTCACAGAGATCCGCCTGCCTCTGCCTCCCGAGTGCTGGGATTAAAGGCGTGCGCCACCACCACCCGGCCATGGGGGGGGGGGGCACACCTTTAATCCCAAAACTCAGGAGGCCGAGAGGCAGGTGGATCTTTGTGAGTTCCAGGCCAGCTTGGTCCACATAGTGAGTTCCAGGCCAGCTTGGTCCACATAGTGAGTTCCAGGCCAGCTTGGTCCACATAGAGAGTTCCAGGCCAGCAAGGGCTATACAAGGAAGAAGTGGGGTGGGGGCAGCGGCAGAGGAAGGGAATACTGTAATGAGTGAGTGGTGCGACATACACTGATAGGGGAGATAGCTTGGGTCTAAGATTTGCATATATTTTATATTTACATAGTCAGGTAAGTTTCTAGTTTCATATTTGTTTTCCTAAAATTCTTTCCACAGGCTGTTCTCCTTCTCCATCCCTGTTCCTCTCCTCTTCTTCTTCCTCACCCCCATCACCCAGTTTCTCCTCGTCGGTGTTTACCTGACACTATTTGCTTAGACTCTACTTATACACATAACTTATCGACTTGAGAAAAGAGCTGCCGACTCCATTATTCTACAACTAGTGTTCTTATTGTGCACCTCGCCTTTCCTCCTCTCCACCTAACGTTTATCATTATTACACTGCTACATCTTCAATGAGAATGGTGTGTCCGTGGTCTGGTTACCCCGACCCTCCCACTTGTTCACCTGGGTGCCAAGGACAGTGTGGTCACAACTAGTTCCTCTGCTGTGCTCTTTCCAAGTCCCAGGAACAACTCTGGGAAGTGCCAACCCTCCTCACCAGCTGGCCGTTGCCTGAGTGCTTGTCAGGCAGTATGGCTGATGCTCAAATCCTCTGTCACTGCACAACTGTATGTGTGCTGTTTCAGGGTCTCTGGATTTTTATAGTCGGGGAAACTGAAGACACCTTGATTTATTTTCTATTTTAAATAGCTTTGGTATTTTAAGGGGAGTGGGAACAATAGGTATGACTACCCAAAGAATTCCTCTTTCACCTTTGAAGTATATGTGTTCTATTCTAGGCTATGTCTGAGGTTGGCCACTGGGTCAATCTGGGTCAACTGTCCTCACTCACACTGGACTTTTCAAGCCATATATTCAAGCGTCCTTTCACAACAGTGAAATCTGATTAAACAATTACGCGTTTCTCTATTTAATTTCACGGTTTGGGGTGTTATCCTCTGATTACAGCAGGGTCTGGTCTCCTGCTCCTGGCTTCTACACCTGCCACTTTCTCTTTATGCCTCAGAAATTTCTCTCCCCATTTTCTTTTGGTCCTGACTACCACCTCTACCCTCTATGTCCCAACTGTGTTTTCCATCTGGCCATTCTGCCCTGTCCACCATTCAAGATTACGCTTTCTCTCTTGCCAGAGTCCTTCCAGTTCATGGACCTTGTCCATTCTTGAGTTCCTTCCTTCATGCTTCACATTCTGAAGTTTCCTTTCTACAAAATTCACAGCAAAACATTCCTTCTCCTGTGCTTGGTAAAACAGTTCTGGTAGGCACATGTCCTCCTTTATTGGTTTGATTTCTACTTTCTCTTCGTTTCTCCACTTTGGAGTTTTGAATTAATGCTGTGCAATTACATTTACTAACCACTAAATCAGTTGGCTTTCCCTAGCCTGGCTATTCCCTTCCTTCCCACCACGGAGACACAAAGCCTCCTACAGACATGGCTCCTCCATGCCGCTCCACCTTCCCAGCTCCTTTGAATTAAACCAGGTCTAGGCTTCAGCAGTCAGCTTGACCTGCCTTCAAAGCCCCTGCAGCTTTGGAAATAAAGGGCATACGTCCCACTTCATGTTGCAAGCATTTCATTTTGAAACTATTATGAAAATTTCCAACTATAGGAAAGTAAAGAGAAACAGCAATGGACCCCCATGCATCCACCACACATCTGACACAGTTACCACATTCTCCCATTTGGAAGTACACTTTCACAGGGGTGTATGAGAGCCCCTGTCCCCATGAGCTGCCATCATCCTTCATGTCCCACGGCCCCTGCCCAATCTCAGTTGTCCTTGAGCAGCCCTTACTTATATTTTGGAGTCTGCGGCTTTTATTTGTTTCCAGCTTTTCTGAAAAATGGATTTTGTGGGTTTGAATAATTTCCAAGGGAAAAGGGGGAAAATGCTGACTTATGCAGGCGTGTTCATGCTGGGAGTCCGAATGAAATACTTTGTAAATTTCCAACTGGATGGGCTTTTTGTTTAAACTTATTAATTTCTCAATTTATTGCATTTTAATATGTCCTGACTGATTTCTGTCTTGGGTAACTTATTACTAACCTAATTTGTGATCAGGTTTTGTAAATGTTCTCTGAGCATTAGGTAGAAAATGTATTCTTTATTTTGTATTACTTTTGTCTTCCATTTTCAAATTATTTTTGCTGCCTGTTTCAAGGCTACAAATTTAGCATTTTATTAAGCTGCAATGTAACTAGCTGTGGCTTAAAGAAAAGCCTTAGCTTGTAGTTTGGTTCTGTTATTTACTATTATTTAGTGTCTGTTTGGTCAAAGAGGTAGTATATTAAAATTTCCTCTTCAACTTTAATCTCTGCTATTTTGAGATGCTACTTTTTAAGATGCACATTTATATATTCCTAACTATTTTTGCTCTAAGTATTTCAAGGCTCTGGGAGATGTATTTGGGAAGTATATCTTTTATCAAAGAAAGAAAAACCACTATTTTGTTCTTTGTTTTTTAGTTTAAATTCTACCTGATTCCTCTTTCTTTACACTTATCCTGATTATGTCTCCCAAGATAGTATAGAAATATTGCCTCCTGAAATGCTCTTTCCCCCAGCCATTCTATTATTTTGTAAGTGTCTTTTAAGAAGAGTGAAATGAATTTTGACTTTTTTTTTTCAAGACAGAGTTTCTCTGTGTAACAGCCCTAGCTGTCCTGGAACTCCCTCTGTAGACCAGACTGGCCTTGAATTCACAGAGATCCACCTGCCTCTGCCTCCCAAGTGCTGGGATTAAAGACTTGTGCCACCACCGCCTGGCAAATTTTGACTTTTAATACAGTCCAGAAGTCCTTATCACTTAGCAAGAGAGTTTGATCCATTCTTGTTTTTTAGGAAAGTTAACATGTTCTTCACTTTTCCTGCATTTTTCCTGATTTCTGATTTTAATGCATTGTTGCTATTCCCTGTAATTTCTTTACTTTCCTATTTAGACCATGAGCTTGCCTTTACCCGCTTTGCTAGTGATTTCCAAAGTGTTTTTTTTCTCCCTATATTCATCTCTCTACCATACTATAAGCTGGTTTTGTTGTTAATGGTGGTCATCTTCCATTTACTGATATTAAAGGACCAGCATTCCTTTCAGGTCTAGTTTTACCCAGAAATAGTTTGGATGCCTTTGTTCTGGAGAGCCTCTGTTCGCTTGGCTGCTGTTGGAGACCTCCTTGGAGAGGTCAAGCTGGAGGCTGAATGCCAGCTCCGCATCCGGCATCCTCCTGAGGAGCGAGGGGCTGGGGCCTCCGGCCACCCTGGCAGCAACCCTCACTCTTGCCTGCCTTGTCACATTTCTTGGCAAGGCCATAGCACCATACGCCAGACCTAACTGGCCAAACCTTCTTCCTGGTACGCAAACAGTTCTGTCTGTCTGCCCAACTTCACACACCCAGCCAGGAAGCCAGAAGCGCTTGCTGCCTGAGGTGCTGCTGGGCGCCTGCAGCTTCATGGCAGGACAGCCAGGACTCTAGGTACCGCACACCAGACAGAGTCCAGTGGATCCGAGGGACACCACACCGCCGCTTTGTGAAACTGCCCCCTGCGGAGTCCCCACCCAGGGCTTTCAGAGGCGGAGGACCCAGCCCACAGCACTCCAACTAGCTGAAACTTTCCCTAGTCCAGCCACTTGACAGCACCCCCATCTCCTAGCCTGAGTCCTGCGCTTGCTCTCCTAACCATGATGAGGCTGTGGAGTACAAGCCATCATTTAGAGTCCAGAAGAAACAACATAGGTCATCTGATTGTACTCATCTCGGATAGATAAGAAATCATTTTCAGGGGTCCCGTGCCATATTTAAGGCATACCTAACCTTACAAATCGTACATTGTATCTGACATTTGGATGCAGTTGGCCACCTGACAATGGAAATCATGTAACACCTTGGAGAACAATTTTTGAGTCGTCTTTGGTTATCTTTCTAAAAACTAGTCTACCTTGAAAAAGCGCATTTGTAGAATTTCCTCAAAATACCAGAAATTGGAGGACACGTCTCTGTTTTTACTCACAGAAACAAAACTTAGCATCTTAATTATATTTGCTAGATAACATCTGTGCCTTTTGTAGGGGTCAAAGGTGCCTCTTGTAGGGGTCAAAGGTTGGGGGTCAGAGTTATATTCTTAATTGGATTTCACAATTTTAATAATTCTTCACTTTTAAAATCTGTGGAAGGGACACCCTTACTTTCCTTCTTCCTTTAGGGAGACAATTTAAAGTAAACCCTAAACATTATTTCACCTATAGAGGCTTCAACATTTTCTCCTTTCTCAGTAGTTTCTTCTTTCTTTCTTCCTTTCTTTCTTTGTTTATTTACTTAGTGTGTGTACACACGCTCGAGTACTCATGCCATGGCACACATAGACTTCTATCATGTAGGTTCAGGGGATCAAGCTTGGATTGTCAGCCTTGGTGGAAAGCACTTTTATCCCCGAGCCATCTTTCTGGTTGGTTCCATTTTTCTTTCATCCCTTGGTCCCAGGGATTAAACCCAGAACCCCACAGATGCTGGCCAGCACTCCCGAGAGCTCACCCCACAGCCATCACTTCGGGATGGTCAACACTCTCCCACCAACACTTCCTTGCTCACCCTTGTCCATGGGGAGTACTTATTCCAAATCCACGCTCTGAAGTAGGGCGACCTTTCATTAGACTCAGACACACGAGAACATCTCTGGTCTTCCACTGTAACCCCTCACTGCTCATCCCTGAATCTAACAACTGCTACAAGACTGGCGGATGCATTCTGGAGAGTGGTCTCACCTTCAGGGTGTCAAAATCCTTCTCCAGGTAGGAACCACACTTTTCCCTCTCCCCAACAGAGGCAAAGAACTTGCTCCACCAGTCAATGAACTCTTCCTCCTGAGCAAAGAGAAAGGAGGAGAGAGTTTAGGAGATCATCTGCCCATCAAGGCCTTCTGAAGGGTAATTTTCCTCTTACGACTTCAGGCTGACCTGGATCCCAAGGCTTGCCTGCAAGTGATTAGGGGGGCATGGAAAACAGGGAGCCAGAAACTCCGCCTCTTTGGGGCAAAAGCCATGCAGACTGGGGAAGCCTGCAACACCTGAATGTTGCTGAGCAACTGAGGCTCAGGCCTGGCTCCATCCCCATTCCTGTGTTCCCATCAGGTTCTCAGGCCTTTCTTGTCTTTCTGTGAAGCAGGGATAACCACAGTAGCATATAGCATCCCAGGGATAAATTGGAGTTCTCTGCAGGGAGGATGTCAAGAATGCATTGCCTGAAAGTATGGTAAGGTAGAGCCCGGGGAAGCTCAAGGATCCGCCCACCCCTCTGCTTTCTGAACTGGGAACCAGAATGTAGACTTCTCAAAGTGGAATCAAGGTAGAGCCCTAAAGATCAGCAAGCATTTGTTAACTGACTTTTATTTAAAAGATGCTGTTAAGTGTAGGCAGCTAGGAGAGTAGACATAAGCTATGACAACTCAGTCTTCCCTTTCTGTCCTTCATCAGTCATAGTCACTGGAAGGGACCCACTGCCTGCCCTACAAACCTCCCTCCACACCTTCCAGCTCAGCTCCTGCCTCAGCCCTTCCCCAGCTGTGTCCTAGAATGTGCCTCTCCCTTTGAGAATCAGCAAGCTCCCTGAAGGGTTTGCCCCAGAAACCTACTCAGGGCATGGCCCCCAGGCTGAGGTCTCTCCATATCACTGAGAAGGCTAAGAGCAAGATGTCTATAGATAACATTCTGAAATGTAACTGAAGGCTGAGTAGGACATCTCCTAGAAGCTGCATCAGCCTACATAGTGAACTGAGTATCTGTCATAAGCATGAGCACGCTTAAGCCTCCTCTAAGTCAAACCCTTTGAGTTCCCGCTTTTGAATGAACCAGGTCAAGGAATCGAAGCAGGCAGTGAGGGTACCAGAGGTGCCCAGAGTGCCTATCCATCCTAGAAATGTAGTCCTAGCACTCTGAGAACCCCAAACAGCAGAGAATTTGTGTTAGCATGAGGCTGTCACTTACCAGGAGGAACTTCTGCAGCCACAAAAGAAAAAACAGGTTCAGATGGGTTAAAGCAAAGAACTGCTGGAGGGCAGACGCTCACTGAACACACACGAAGACCAGCACACACGAGACGATGTTTACAGTCACACCCAAGGGAGATGAATGTGCAGAATCATCCATTTACTCCCACAGAAAACACATAGGACGTACAGGAACACAGAGACAGGCACATAGACTTAGGTGGGAGTGGTCTATGTGGAACCCTGTTTAGCTGTTTGGCTCTTCCTAACATTTATTTCCTTCCCCAGCCCAGGTATTTAAAATTTTGACTTAAGTCAGGCAAGACAGGCAACCAACCAGCATACTTTACACAATGAAAAGACAGAAACACAAGAGTTGTGGTACAGATATTATACACCACTCTGTCTTTAAACATACACACACACACACACTGAGGGGGGGTGCTAGGAGACAGAGGAGAATAATGCCATCAACAATGACACCCAAATAGAAGGCTTCTTGAAAACTAAAAACAGGAAGTGTACCTTCGTTTCTGGCACCCTTGGAGCACGTGGGGGAAAAGAGCCAAAGGTAAATCTCAATAAAAACTAAGAAATAAACTCACAGTGGTCACCTCTCTGACCATTCAATAAAGCTTAAAATTAATAAGAAATGATAAAATGAAAATCCCAGGCTGTTAGACAGTTAAAGACATGTTCTTATAACCCCACTGAGTTAAAGACATGTTCCTATAACCCCACTGAGTTAAAGAAAGACATGTTCTTATAACCCCACTGAGCCAGAGAAAACCAGAACTAGATTCAAGACACCCAGATTGCAGACAGGCCCATAGGCACGGGAAAACTCACTCTTAAATGTTCTGACTTTTATACAGGAAAAAATGAAAAGAAATAACCTGATAATTTATGAGAACAGATAAAGCAAAAAAAGTAAGTGAAACATAAAATGTAAATCTAAAATAAAATTGTAAGGAAGCCGGGCGGTGGTGGCGCACGCTTTTAATCCCAGCACTCAGGAGGCAGAGCCAGGCGGATCTCTGTGAGTTCGAGGCCAGCCTGAGCTACCAAGTGAGTTCCAGGACAGGCGCAAAGCTACACAGAGAAACCCTGTCTCGAAAAACCAAAAAAAGAAAAAAGAAAAAAGAAAAAATTGTAAGGAAATAAACATATCAGAAAGGGAAATATTGCAATTGATAATTAACACCCTCAAAAAGAGATAAATATCAAACTAATCTCAAAGAGTAGATACACATTGACAACAGAAAGATGAAATAAAAAGACACTATGGGGAAGAATAAAATAGGCCTAAATCCATGACAAAATCCTGGAAAATCCAGATGAACTAGGAGATTTTCTAGAAAAATATGAATGCCAACATCAATGCAAAAATAATAGAAAACAAGAAGAGATTTCTGGCCTTGAAAGTGAAAGAAATTCCAAAAAATACCTGCCAAGGGAACTATCAAGCCAGGAGACTTTTTGTTTGGAAGAACGTTCTACAAGGCTTTACAGAATAAATTATTCTTTGGTGCACAGCACAGAAGAAAAAAAAAAAAAAGATGAAAACCTTTCTCATTCAGTTTAGGAAACAAAGCCTGACAAAGAAACAGAGAGGAGAGACGGAGGGAGGGGATATGAATAACCCTCACTCCCGAATTCAGAGACAAAAATTCCAAATGCACAGACCTGGTGGGATCCAGCTAGGTCATAGCAGGGCATGAGAACGGCTCGCCAGAGATGGCTAAGAATCAGGGGCCAGGCAAGCTGGTGCACACCTATCATCCTAGAGGCTGAGGCAGGAGCATTTCCACCAGTGTGATGCCAACCTGGGCTACATGAGACTCTGACTCAAGGGTAAAAAAAAGAAGTTTAAGGGGCTGGAGAGATGGTTCAAAAATTAAGAGTGGAAGCCACTCTTGAAAATGACCCAGGTTTTTCCTAGCTTACAACTATTGGTAACTCTAGTTCCAGGGTATCCAACTCCCTCTTCTGGCCTCCCCAGGCAACTGCAAATGTGGTATACATGCATACATACAGGCAAACACATAAAAGAAAAATAAATAAACCTTTTAAAAACAATATAACAAAACATGAATGTTTTAGTATAAAGAGTAAACATAAAATACTCATAGTGACTGCTTCTGAATGAACAGACTATAAGTGTTTTTATTTGTTATGTGCTTTTAGGAACCACACAAATAATTTTGATCTTTCATTGAGTAGAAGTATTACTTAAAACTAGCTTGTTGTGCTTTTAATTTGTTTATTAGTGTGTGTGTGTTGAGGAGGGAGAGGGATGCATGCAATAGGTCTCAAGACAGTGTTGTTGCATTGGTCCTCTCCTTCCGCATCTATATACATGGGTTATAGGAACCAAACTCAGTTCCCCAAGAATGGGCAGCAAATGCTTTACCCATTGGATCATCTCACTGCCCCCTCCCCAAAAAACCCACTGTTTTAAATTTAGGTTAAAAAAAAAAACAAAAAACAAAAAAAAAAACCAGTAGCATGCTTCCAAAGACACTGCCAAGACTGGGAACAGAACAGTTGGAAGGACGGGAGGAAAATATTTCTAAATCATCCATCTGATAAGAAACTGCATCTAGAATGCATAGAGAACTCACACAACTCTGTAATTTTTAAAATACAACTTAGAAGTGGGCAAAGGGGGCTGGAGAGATGGTTCATCAGTTAAAAATTCATACTGCTCTTGCAGAGGACCCAGGTTCAAACCCCAGCACTCACATGGTCCCTCAGAACCACCTGTAACTTCAGTTCCAGGACTGAATCTGGCACCCTCTTCAGATCTCCAAGGATTCCTGTATGTACATGGTGCACATAAACTCACACAGAGATACATCAATGAGACAAAAAAAATAAATCTTTGAAAGTGGGCAATGGCCTTAAGATTACATTGCTCCAGGGAAAATACATAACAGCCAATAAGAAATAAAAAACGTGGTCACTGCCCACCTTGTCATCCAAGAAATGCAAACCAAAACCACAACCAGAAACAGATAGCAGGGGGGTGGCTGTTCTCAGAGAGGCAGGGAACACAGTGTCAGCTGGGGGTGTGGTGATATTTTATTTGTGCTGAAATGTGGTGATACTTTATTTGTGCTTTGATAAATAAAGCTTGCCTGGAGATCAAGGGGAAAACGTCAGCCGTTTTAAGTAAACAAAGTCAGGTAGCACACGCCCTTAATCCAATCACTTAGCAGGCAGGGTCTCTGTGTGTTCAAGGCCACCCTAGGGAACAGAGCCAAGTGTAGTGATATATGCCTTTAATCCCAGAACCAACCATAGAGACCTAGAGGTTTGTATAGACAGGCAGTGATGAGGAAGTGAGGTGGCTGGGCTAAGAGCCAATGAGAGGGCAGAAAAGCAAGGCATATAAAGGTGTGAGTAGACAGGAAGTAGCTCGCATTCAGAAGCTACAGAGTTGGTGAGGTAAGGTTGGCTGGTGGCTTTTCCTATTTCCTTGATCTCTAAGGCTTTCACCCCTATATTTGGCTCTGTGTTTTTTATTTAATAAGACCATTTAGAAATCCATCTACAGGGTGGTGGGAGAAGCCAGTGAGAACATAAAACATGGTGGACACTGTGGAACACCCTGACCGTTCTGAAAAGTGGCAAGCAGTGCATTCCCTGTGACCCCCATTCTGCTCTTGATACATACACATCTTAGAGAAATTGGAATGATCCAAAATCATGTACTTGGAAGTTCAGTGCAACCTTTTTCAGAGTGGCTACCAGGTGGGCATAACCCACCTGGGTCTTCTGAAGAATATTATCAGGACAATGTTTGGCAATGTGCTACAGCCTGGATGAACCCCGAAAACACGATAAGCAAAAGAAGTCGATCACAAAAGAACACAT